TTTAATCTATAATTTTAGTGACGGATAGTCGGGCTAATTAATTATGCAAGGTGTAGGTTTGCAATCGTTTTTGTAAACATCTATTCCGTCCATTGAAAAGTTTTTAAATATTCTTTACTTGAAAGTCAAAAATAAATAATTTTACCAACATTACGTCGCGTCCAATATTTCTAATTTGTATTATTACTCTAGGGTGCAGATCGTAATATACTTGAAATTATTTGGAAATTTTCGTAGTTTTCAAATGTATTGAAGGGAAAAAAAAAGAAAAGTACCTGTATTGAAAAAAAAGTTGTGTTGCAGATTTACTAAACCGAATTTAAATATAAACGATGATTTGTGCTTTGAGTTTGTGCAATACTTTTTAACAAGAATAACATTACACAAATGACATATTATGAAAGGTGCAATAACAAGTTGGCGACAAGGTGGCGAATTGTATACAATTATTGTGATTACTTGATCTAACTTCATTGCATAGACATTGTAAACTTTGAAATTAGGAATTAAATTTAATATTTACACATGATACGTACACATAAAAAGACTAGAATTGTTAAATATTTATAATTTAATAGATATAACAATTTAAAACCTAAGAATAAAACTTCGCAAACAAAGTTTTTAAAGCCTTGACAATAGTGCAACTCTATTTGATTAGGAACATAAAATATCAACTGCAGCAATTCACGCTACCGCATAACATTAAACCATTGCAAACATAACACACTCATATCACATTTTACATTCTAAAATGATTTTTCACAAATGTACATAAATATGCAAATACAATTTTATATTAAATTAACAATGATCACATTGATAGTCTATTCTTGAGATCTTTGCCCTTAACCTAGAGTATTTTAAAATATCACAATAAATTGCTGTGCACATACGAAACAGGCAAATTTTGAGTGCAATTACATTAATAATTTATTTTTCCTTCTAAAACATTTAATAAGATACAAAGTGTACCTTGAAATTAGTAGGTACACACTTAATAGATTTATACGTAATTACGTGCTGCCAATGCAGAAGATACGGTAATTTATAAGCTTTTCACTTGCACTTCGCTAATTCTAGTCGTTCTTCCAGATTATTCATACCTAACAAAATGATAAGTGAAGTGCTCATCTGCTCAGTCTGTAATCTAATATATTTAAACTAAGCACAACAAAATAATACGAAATAAATATCAGTTCTTGTAGTGAGCTACTCAGTAGGACATTACATGTTAACGTTATAAATGAAATTAATCTTGTTATAAACGATTTCTCAAATAGCCTATTAATATTATATTTGTTTGACCTACCATAATTTCGGTTTCATTCTTTTTTATGGTAGGTAAAAATGTTAAAAAAGTTTTTAGAATTCAGATCAATTAATATGAATACCTGTTTCTTTTGTTGCCAAATTGAATTTTCTAATTGAGCTTTCGGTATATTCGTGGAATGTGATATTTTTAAAATTAATTACATTAAATATATTGAAGGAATTATTTGATCTGATATAAATCAGTAAGGTTTAATGAATATGAAGCAAATTAGACTAATTAATATTACAATATTTAGATATTTGAATTTAACTGCCCTTAAAATTGTTGCCGTAATGAAAAAAAATTAAATAAACAGGTACTGTAGACGGTAGGTACATACATATGTATAGTTTACTATTAAAGTAAAAAAAAAGGCTTTTTGGCGAGAACGCGAGGAGTGAAGTCGTGTGATTTGTTTTATTTTGTCTATTTAGTGTTTCTTCGGGTTTAAATGTGTAATAACGGTGGTTTATTAACTGTTTAGTAACTGTGAAAGTACACAAATGTGGGAAAATGAAACAAAGGCGCCGAACATAACTTCTCGGGATCCTCTAAAAAGTCCACTGAAAAAGTCTCAGTGAATGACCACGATTTTACTGAGATTATATTATATTATATTTCATCACATATCATCTCATCTCATTTCATTTAATTTCATATTAAGTTTCCTTCGTTTTTATTATTAATAAACTGTAAATAATTAAAGCGGCGAATTATAAAAATCTTATTACTTGACGCTGCTAATGGTCGGTATACACTACAACGATTTCTCGTAGCGATTTTACTGCACAGTTCAACTGTGCAGTTTATCGTACGTCTATTGAGTGTCCACACGTCAACGATATCTGCATCGATCGTCAGTTCTCTCAGATAATAAAAATGTTATCTTTTTGGCTTTGTTGAATTAATTCTTGCAAGAAGTTCGCAGGTTGATTAATTTATTTGCTACAGTATCCTTATTGGCATTAGGATCAATAGGTTTGTACTTAATAATTAGCCTATCATAGGCAGCATTTTTCTTGTTGCAGTCGTGATAATCTTTACTTTTCTAAATTCACAAGCAAATTTCACTTTTATAGATCTTCCAATAACTCACGGATTCTTCTACAATCTAGTTGCAACATGTTGTAACGTGCGCGGGCGCGTCCGCTTACAGCAAAATTTGTGACCGAACTGAGCGGTTGGACCAACTTCCGACCACACGCTACGATAACTGCACAAACGAACTGTGCAGTTAAATCGCTACGATAAATCGTTGTAGTGTGTACCGGAGCCAAAAACTAAAGAAGAAGAAGAAAGTGGTAGTAAAAAATTAAAAAAAAGTGCTGAAAAATCTCACGATAATGCTCATCAAAGCATAGTTTTACATTAGTGTAGGAACAATAATTGATTTTTTGTCCATTAATAATTTTTCTATTCCCAGAATTTTTACCGTCGAACCTGTTGGCTCAAGAACGAAGTTCTAACAGGTCACATCGGTATTTTTGTATATTGCTTAATACCAATGTACCAATGTATTAATCTTCACATCGTTGAGAGGCATATTTTATTTTTATAATTACTGGGTTTGTAAAAACAATGCTTTGATATGCCTCCGAGCCTTATGTAAGATTTGTCGATTTTTTCTTATTGTCCACATCCTGTCAAGTCCCTCTATTTTAAAACTATATAATCTAGAATACTAACGCTAATTTTTTTTGGATTTTTATATATTTTTAACTGTGCAAATATATTTTTCAGTGCAATAATAATACTTCTAATAATATAACTACTAACATTTAATTAATATTTTTTACAAGTTTATAATTACTATTAATGTGTCCTAGTTGTTGGATAAAACTCGTGCGAATGATTTTACCCTAAAATGTTTGAACAGTGCATAAATAATTTTAAAGAATGTGCTACATTTTATAATATAATAAGGGAACATGTTCAAGATATTTTCTAATTGTTATTTAGAAGGGATGTGAACAATATTAGGCAGCAATTAGCAAAGATGGGTTTTAAGTCGTCGTGGCCTAAAGGATAAGACGTCCGGTGCTTTCGTATCTTGCGATGCAACGGTGTTCGGATCCCGCAGGCGGGTACCAATTTTTTTAATGAAATACGTAGGTACATAACATATGTTCACGATTGACTTCCACGATGAAGGACCAACATCGTGTAATAAAAATCAAACCCGCAAAAAATTATAATTTGCATAATTACTGGTGGACCTCTTGTGAGTCCGCACGCGTAGGTACCACCACCCCGTCTATTTCTGCCGTGAAGCAGAAGGCTTCAGTAACCACTTAACATCAAGTGGGCTGTGAGCTCGTTCACCCATCTAAGCAATAAAAAAATTTGTTAAGTGAAGTTAATAAAAGCTTTGTATCATATACCTATTTTGTATTTAATTTCAAGTATATTTGAAACTATCTCAGAGACCATACAAGAAGTGCAATTCAGTATATGTGATGAAGGTGAAATTTCTTTGATCTCAAAGAGCTAAAATAGCCAAGTGTTTTGAAGGTCCTTCACTTCTCGGTCTGGTCTGCCTGTAACCACTAGGGGGACTACAAATTTCTTCATACCCATTCACATTAAATTTTACTATGAATGAATTTCAACTGGAATATTTCCACTTCAAAATGTCAGTTCTTTGTTTATGTTTAAAGACAAAAAAATTAAAAGGTTTTGAGATATGTTTTGAATAAATTGGATTCACTTTAAATGCCCTAATTAAATACATTACCAAGCTTCAGTACCCATTTATTAAATTATTTTAATGGAATAATACAAATGATAATATTATAGGATAAAGGGCTTTAATATAAAGCTTACAAATTCTGGTCATGTCTATTCTCATTAAGTTTTTTTAAGTTATCAAGACCTGAAAATGAAGTATTGTAGTAATGTGTGTATGTAAGTATTATAGGTATGAAATATGAATTGTTAACTCTGAAACTTGATGATTCATCATTCTTTCATTTTCAATTCTTCAATTTAATTCTTTGTTTATCAGACTTCAAATAAAAAAGTAGGTTCTACCTTATGTTTTTTTCTTTGAACTGATTTTGAAAACTAATTATGCTATTTTAAATTAAAAACATACAATTTTTTATTATGTGTTTTTAATTAAAATAATTAATTTATAGTGGAGAAATCGCACATTAGAGCAAATGCAATAATATTTATCATGCCTTTCAAATTTTTTGTATATAATCAATTACATGAATTGTAAGTGTAGGCAATTGGTTGGGAACAAAATTTAAACATGTAAAAAAATTATTGAGTTAATAAAACATCAGTGACTTTCACTTGATGTATTTTTGCATAATTTCTCCTAATAGTCTGTGGAGATACAAATTTTGCTCCACCTCAATGCTGCGTGCAAATTGGTGGAGATTGGGTTCAGAATGGAACCCAAGGGTGTTCATATTTTTAGCCGCACTAAGGCTAACTTTGTTCAATTTTACTCTATAGTAACATGAACCAACTGCCTACATGTTAAGGCATATAAATATCATAAGAATGTTGAATTTGGTATTAATTTTTCTGAATCATACCATTACTTTAAACCTTACATGTACGAATCTCCATTTCGAATATTTTGATATTAATAGGAATAGGATTTTATATAATAAAAAAAATGTAGTTCTTAATTTTCATAGACCTTTAACTAATAATTTGAGATTCCGCTTTATGAATTGAAATATCAATAGGCTATTCTGAAAATTTAATGAGAAGTCTAAATTAGTATGAAGATAATCCATGAATATGACGTTTCAAAACGGCGAAATATAGAGAAAAATTTAAATTAATTTAATGTCCGGGTATATTAAAATCTATTGAGGATTAGTTAAGTTGTAGGAACTTCATGACTAGCATTTAATTGCTCAAATATTATTATTTCCATAGACTTTTAGGTAAATGAGAACATAAATATAAAGTATTTCAATTTTCGGATTTTTTTTGAATATTTACCTAATAATTACACAAAGTTTTTAAAGAAATCTGAAGCCCTATAAAGAAAATGCAAGTTTTTAACTACCTACTTGTTTCATGATTTGAATAATAGATAGTAGCTGCCTTTCAATGAGTAGTTTTCAATTGTTATTCAAATACAAATTAAAGTTAAAACTCAATAGTTTCAATACCTAGTACAGCTATTATAATGCAACTGTACTTCTGTCTGCCCTTTGTTTTAATCCTTATTTTGATATAGACATAGTTAACCGCATTGTATATAGGCCGACAAAAACTAAACTTTCATTTCATATTTACATAAATAGTCATACAATAATTTACAACCTTTAATATAAGGAATTTTTGAAATACCAAGTAGGAAGGTTACAGAACAAATAAAGAGTTACTACACAAAAAACAGTTGGTAAGTGTAATGTAAATGTTCTACTGACTAACATGTTCGCTATCAGTCTCAAATTTAGTACTCGATCCAACCGTAACATAAACAGCTGAGAAGATTTGCTAGGACGAAACCATATCACTTAGTCCATCAGTGTATCGCAATCCCAATGGTGCGCCTACCACGTTCATCACGTAAGCTTTATGTTGGTAGGAATTCTCCAAACACTACACTTCACATGGTTAAGTTTTTGGTATAGGCTGCACCACTACTTGATATGTTTCAATTATTTGTTCAACACATTAATGACTGGTGACGTCCGAGTAAATTTTTGTTTGCGCAGCATATTTTCACTTGATGATGGCTTCCGAACTAAAGTAATAAATCTTTGTCAGTTAAGCACTGAAGAAATTCCAAGAGCTTAAGGAGCCAGGTTTCCATAATAGTTTTTAGCTTAGCGTCCACGTGCCCATCGAAGTAGCGCGTCAGCCAATACGTCAAGGTGGGCCTTAGTCTGTAAATAATATTTTAAGGATTATAAAACTGTTTACCGATAACACAACGATAAATTAATGTAAATAATTCAACGAAATAACCTTTATCGTTGTATTTTATTTTCTACTGAGTTGTTTTTTATGCAAAGAACTACTTAGTGTTACTTTATAGTTATTCCACGTAATTTCAAAATACGTATTATATATTCAATATCAAACTTGAACTATAAACTCTTGGTGTTTGGGTATTACCCAAAATCTAACTCACAGAACACTATTACTTCTAGCGATCTAACTAAAACAACTTTTTTCATGGTCTCTACTTCTTAGAATGGGGAACGGTCAAAAGTGAACTGAATACTGTGTTTAAAGAGAAAATAAAAATATTGCAAATTTGCCCATTGTATTTGCCTTTAAGGCGTTGTCCACTTATTAAGTAACTTTCCCAAGATGAAATTTTATCCAAATCCGATAATCTGATTAAGCTTTGATTGCTCAATTGCTCAAGCCATTGCTTCCTTTTGACGCGAAAGAAGAACAAAATCCAGAGTTTTTGTAGAGATAAAACATAGTTTTTCGTGGAAAAAGGTGTTTTTTCGGGAAATAAAGTAGACTTTATCACGCTCTTGACTTAATACTGTCACTTTTAAAAAAGCGTGTCATACGAAGCAACGTGTCACATGAAGCAATCGTTTCGACGTAAACGAAAGCAAAAAAAACACATTTATAATATTAAAAAAAAGTGTGCATTATTTAGGCTCGGTGTGGCAATATAAAAGTAAAAGTAAAGTTGTTAAAATCTTGTTGTAAAAGTATTAAAAATATAATGTCGTAGAAGTGCGTCGAAGTTCTGAGCTCTATGGGTACCATGGTTACCAGCCTCCCGCCTATTTCTACCGCTAAGCAGTATTGCGTTTCGGTTTGAAAGGTAGGATAGCCGTTGCACTATGCGGCTTAGACTTACGATCTCATATCTTAGATCTCATCTCTTTGGATATAAATGTTTTAGATAATATCTAGTATTCTTTGTCAAAACATATTATAAATATTTGGTATAATTTATCTATTCTTGTAACATTCCATTCCCATGATATCATATAAAAGTGAAGCTATCTTTTACTATTATTGGGGGAATTCCCGGAAAGTATGTATTTATTACCCTGTTTTTTTAAAACTTTAAAACTGAAAATATTTTTTTCTGCGGCCGTTCAGTTTTTGTAGTAAATTTAATTAGCCCGCAAAGGTATGTAGTTTGGACAGTCCTAATCTAAGTAATAAATGTGTAATGGGATAATCTTCAATTTATAAAATTGTTTTGTTTATGATTGGCTATCCATAGATAGAGAACATTCGACTGGATTGTTTAATTTTAGATTACCGTTTTATAGAACATGCAGGCTTGTCGATCTTCATCCTCACCACTAGGACAGTCAATGAATCCGTCGCAAAGCACGTGATCGTCGATACATCGGTAACGTCCTTGCCGGTCCGGTGTAGGACAGGCAAACCTTTCCATACCATCCGCAGCAGGTGGACATTCTGAAATTTAATTAAATAATGTTAGCCGGACAGAATATTTGAATTTTTCTGGCAAAAACGTTAGCGAAGAGTTTTTCAGTAATTGTCGAGCTTTAGTGATGCTTGGAGAGATTATTTATGAAATATTCAGTGGACATTCGACATATTTCAGCTCAAACTACCAGAATTTTTTTCGTCATCTTGGACGATATTTTCGTAGTACCTAAAGAAAAACATAATTAAAAGTTATTTTTGGCCCACCCTAACCAACAGATACAACAACACTTCGTCTGTCGAAGACCAGAAAAAATCGAGGCGGCCGCGTGCTGTTAGAACTATAAAGGCTGTTAATGCTGCTAAAGACAGAATTCGTCTAAACCCGATTAGGAAGCAAAAAGTCTTATCGCGAGAAATGAAGATTCCTGCTAGGACTGACGCCTATTAAAAAACAAGACCTTAAGCTCGTTGTTTATCGTCGATATACAAGACATGCCCTAAATCAACCTTTACAATTAAAGAGAGTGGCTCGATTAAAACGCCTTGTATCGCGATACGCAGGCGAAAGGCACAGAAATATCCTCTTTACCGATGAAAAAAATTTCAAAAGCAAAATGATAAAGTGTACGCTCATAGTTCTAAAGTAGCTGCTCAAGTGGTAGGAAAGGTACAACGTGGTCATCATCCCGCGTCAGTGATGGTTTGGTGGGGCGTGTCTTATCAAGGAGTCGCAACACTACATTTTTATGAAAAAGGAGTGAAAACTTCAGCCAAAGTGTATCAAGATACAGTCTTAGATCATGTTGTGAAACCTCTCAGCAATCAATTTTTAAAAATAAACCGTGTACTTTCCAGCATGACTCTGCACCTAGTTACAAGGCACGAACTACCCAAGCCTGGCTTGAAACCAACGTTCTGGACTTTATAAGAGCTAAAGACTGGCCCTCATCTAGTCCAGACCTCAACCCTTTAGACTTCAAATTATGGTGAGTTTTAGGGGACATGGCCTGCTCTGTACGACACGGTGACATTGAGTCTGTTAAGAAATCTTTGGAACAAGTAGTAGCGAAATTTCCCTTGGTAACAGTGCGCAAATCCATAGATTCCTGGCCCAACAGATTTACTGGGCGCGGGTGGGTACTACCACCCTGCCTATTTCTGCCGTGAAGCAGTAATGCGTTTCAGTTTGAAGGGTGGGGCAGCCGTTGTAACTATACTTGAGATATTAGAACTTATATCTGAAGATGGGTGGCGCATTTACGTGTGGATGTCTATGCGCTCCAGTAACCACTTAACGCCAGGTGGGCTGTGAGCTCGTCCAACCAACTACGCAATAAAAAAAGAAAAAAAAGATTAAAGGCCTGTATAAAAAAAGCTTTGGCTTGTGGCAATTTCGAATAGAATATTTTTTATTTTTTGCTGAGTCTTTAATAAATATGTAGGTATACATTTTTATAATATTACAGTACCTACTACATTAAAAAAATGCATTTTCATTTGTAACCGAACTTATAGTCGGATTTGGTATTTATGATTGCAAATTTAAATGACTTAAATTGAACGTTATCTAAAATCGAACATTCTTAAAAAACTTACTTAACAAAAACTGGTTTTATTATTTAAGGTCTTTTATAAGCAAGACCGAAGAATGAAATCAGTTCGGAAACCTTATTTTTGTGGCAGGCGTTGAAGTCACATTTGACTTTAGATGTTTTGTTCACATTCACGACTAAAGCCCGGAGGTCGGCGCACCGCTTGAGCTTAATGAGTTGTACTAATAACGTGTGCCTGTATATTTTTGGTCATTGGAAAGTTATCTATGACCTAAATATCTAAAGCTGCTTTGTGGTTAAAGTGACTTTCTAGAAGTGATTTAACAGAATTTGGAAAATATAACACTAAACTATATTTAAGATAATACAGATCTAATGAGGGAAATATTGTTCTATATTATTTTATGAAATAGTTCGTAAAAAATAGACGTCCGAACTTCGACCTTAAATAGAAAGACTTCCTTATCCTTCAATCTGACGTAGGTAAATTTTATTTACATGGAATAAAATGAACGCATGAAATCATCGAATGTGACTGGGAGTTATTCGTCGATTTTCAAGTATGCTTGTAACAAACGTTAGTTCTCTGCAATATTAATTCGAATGATCTTATTGTTTTCAAAAATATTGTTAATAAGAATGTGGGTATATTACATATTATACAAGTAGTACTTAGACTGTGACAGCAGAATTGGTGGTTACTATCGCGAGCGTCTATTTTTAGCACAGGCGTCCGGGGAAAGTAAAGTCCGTGGTTCGGTTGCGCGCGCCCCTTCTGTATCTATATCCTTACCCTATATCTATTCACTTTGAGGGAAGTCAGCTACGGCTTGTGCATTCGTAATCAATCGTTGATAGCATTCAAGTAAAGAAGGATCCTGGTCGTTTTGTGATTTCATCGATAGCTTTTTTATACCCTGATGTGGGTGAATAAATTCTGATTGCTGTGAATAGGTTATGGGAGTCAATCAATACAGCGAAAAGAATGTCGCTATCTATCTTGAGGTATAAGGTTGAAGTTTGAATTGTAGTTTTGGAACACTTGTCGACCTTTGACCCCTTCAAATAGGAACAAACGATTGCTATACAACAGGTAGAATAAATTAGTAAATTAGTAGACATGTGAGCTTGCCATGATAGCACAGAGGTTGTGAGCTCTAATGATGCCAATTATTCTTTTTTTTTTTATTGAAGCATGTGTTTGAATGAAAAATATGTAATTTAAGATTCTACGAGAACAATGATGAAGACAATTTTTTTTTTGAGTATAACAGAAGTGGCTGTAATAAAAAAATTCGCATATCTAAAAAAACAACGACAGGCTTAATTTACCTATACATAGTTAACTTAAATAAAAAATTAATTTGTAAAAATAGACAAACGGACTTCACATCTAATAATAATAATATATAATTTTTACACATAGTCCTAGTTCCAGATAGTATTTTTTCGTACCTCATAAAACATTTCATCAAGATAGGAAAAAAGATTTTCCTTCGAAATTAAAAATAATTCTTGAAATAAAGTCCAGCTAAAAATATTAATTTCTTTTTAAACGTCTATTGATCTCATATTTTTTAAGGAATCGTGTAACAAGGTAATTTCTCACAGCAAACTTTTTTCTTAAAATGTCAAAAATTTGAGTATGAGGTACATAGTTCCGTCAAGAGCCTTCAGTAGACGTGTGCTCGTTTGTAGCCTACACTATTAAGTATTCAGAGCGACGGCAGATACAAGGAGCCTCTGGGGCCTTAAACTGCCTACTTTTAAAATATTTGTCGTCGTTAACATGCTCAGCCTTAGCAACATTCACACCTGAACACTTTATATGTATATTGTCTACAATAAAACTACGCTATATCTGGCTCTACCTACACATTGATTTAACTCTATCTATCTCTTTAAATCTTTATCCGCACCTCGCTTTATAGATATGGGTGTGTATTTATTGTATATTTTAATGAAATGTTTTCAGTTAATTTGGGTTGAAATGAAGTTATCGTACCTGAAAAGTATAAGACGCCTAGTATACTTGAATAAAGATATGCAACAGAGCCGGTATTTAGATATCTTTCAGTTTAAGGTACGTAATTAACACAATTTTTTATTAATATTGTTCAGGAAACCGCCGAACTTACGCTTTGGGGGCTATAATCGAGGCTTATTGGAAGTTGAATCGATTAAAACTGTCGCTGAACTGTGGTTGAATTTTGTGGTAACCCACATCTGAAAATCGGGTGACACAGAATTCAACCGATCAGCCGGGAGACAAGGGGTGTGATTCGCCAGAACTGCATCATTACACACTTTCATAACTCCACGGGAATCGAATCGGTAGTCGTTGGTGAAACGACCAACTCTCGATAAGCGGGCTATCCGTAGCTCAGACGGCGCCACTAACAAATCTCTCGAGATACTCTGTTTTGGCTGACTCAAAACCAGGATGTGTCTAGTTTGAAGGGCGAAGGGCCTTTCCTCTCATGTTCCGCCATCTGGTTCTGCCACTTGCAGAAATCGAGCAACGCCAGCCACGACTCGTTTCTGTTGGTCGTCGCAACCACGACGCTCGGCAGTGATATAGTTATGGGACGACAATACGACTCTGCTCCCCTCACGCGGAAAAGACCATGGGCGTATAAGTGTTCTTCCGTTATCAAATTACATCCACAGCGAGGGAACTCTTTCTCTGGTGCAAGTTATATATAATAAACCATTGCCGGTTCTGGATTCTTACCAGTCGGAAGGCGAGGCACTCTTGGTCACGGTTCGTCCAGTTCTCGGGGTCCTTATACCTACAGGTACCGCCACTCTGTCTATTTTTGCGTCGGAACAACTACGCACTAACTAATAATATTAATATTTATATTACGTAATTTATAAGACTTTAATATTTTATCTATTTTTAACGTTCACAATATAATAAGCTCAGGTGATATTTCATATCAGATCTATTCTCGCTAAGAAAATATTGACTAAGGCAACATATTCTTAAGATCAAAATTAAATTGCTTAATAAAAAAATACTTTATATAGTAGAGTCAGCCGCAGTTGTGAATAAGAATTCATACAGTGAGTATGTTTTCTAGTATCGTAAAAGATTTCTATGCCCCTTCACTGGCTGAGGTTAAATATACATATATGATATATAAAAAGTGAAATGAAAGCAGTACCGTCAGTACTTTCTCTTATCTCTCAGCACAAAGTCGAAGTCTCTTAGTTTAGAAGTTTCTTATCTTTTTCTAGAATTCTTTCTAGAATAATAATGGTCCGTATTGGATACCTATGTGACATGAGCCATTTTGGCTATATTACACTTGATGTGTATACACCATAATGAAAAAAATAATCAAAAAGAGTATTATTATCTATACAAGGCCTCGTTCTTATTAACTAAGTTTCTGTGATCTATAGATTTTATTTTTTATTTTATTGCCTTTGTAGGCAGACGAGCATATGGACCAGCTGATGGTA